ACTTTATTAGTAGAATAGGCCGCAGGGCAGCTTGTGTCCAGGACTGTTGGAGAGGACAGTGTGTGTGGACGGCAGGACAGTTGAAGAAGAGGTGCAGATGTGGTGAAGAGGCCCTTCTGTGAGAGTGTGTGTGACTCCTGTCTAATCTGCCCAGTTGAAGGAGTGGTTGGAGGTTGTGAAAGAAGAGTCGCTGAAGATCTCCAGATTTATTATCCTTATTTTCATTTTCATGTATTGCTTGTGATTGTGTGTGTGATCATGTAATTTGTGTCAGTAAATTCACACATTTTACCATTGTGTTTAAGTGTGCCTCCATTATAATATTTCTCTATGAGCATACACGAGGGTTATCATAGTACCACCTAGGGAACGTCGCGTTCTCTATAGAACTTCTTATCGCCTGGAGAGTGGTAAAGCAGCACAGACTTATATAAGAGTGTACCCTTAGCCATCCGGCTAGTATCAGAGCCTGACTGGTGGCAACAGGTAACGTAGTGGCTGGAGAGAGGTAAAGCCACACAGACTTTTATGGGAGAGTACCCTGGGCTGACAGTCCAATATCAGATCTATGGGAGTAACAACACTCTGGCAACAAACAGTATAGAATACACCCACTGAACTGCATCGCTGGGGTGCAGATATACTAACCCAGCTGGCGACCTTGTTAAGAAGATAGGGAAGGCAGGCGGGAAAGGAGTTCCTGCAACCTTTTTGTCTGGCAGGCAAGACTCAGGGGAATTTATTGTTATAAGGTAAGCCTGAGTCTTCCTTCACTCCTCCACGGGTCTAGGCCGGAACTACTGATAGCAGTTTCCCCGTGGTTGACTGAAGGGTTTCCAGGGTGAATCAGTGGCGGTCCCTTTAGTGGTGGAAGCAAAGACCTGCGGTGGTGGGCATTGCTGGTCCTCTCCTGTGGGACCAAGGAGACTCCGGTGAATCCCGGGAGTCGGAGGGGCTGTGTATTCTGCCTTCTGAGCCCCTAGCAGCCGAGTGCTAGCGGAGCCCTGGCCCACCCCCCGTGACAATACGTAACGGCAAAAAAGAGCAACCGGACAACACAGGACGCACCCCCGGCCGAACCAATAGAGCATCAATAATCCAAGGACCCCCCCCCCCCCCCCGGTAAGCAGCTGTCTCAACCGTCGCCAAAAGGACGGAGAAAGGCTGCAAACATACAAACCTACCACCAGTACCTAAGAGCAGAAACCTGAACCAAAGGGGCTACCACAAACTGTGGAGAAGGTAAGAGGGCACCCTGATCAAGGACCAGGACAGCTCAGGCGACGCATGAGCAGGACGGAGGTGAAACAAAACACGAGAAAGCGTACAGAATAGGGCAGATGTGACGTCCACCCCGAACGCAAGCCGGAGCGGCTCCACCAGTGCCTCACAAAACGAGGTGACAGTAAGACACATCAATTAACTGTAGTCCTGAAAACCCAAGAAAGGACAAGACAACCCGATGCAGAAGAGAAGACAACCTACGAAGAGCAAGAAAAAGGTGCATAGAAACGCAAGGAACATCATACTGTCGCCGAGACGAAGCACATATGTGGGACACCATCAACAAAGTCACCTGATCAACACAGAGATGGTGATACCCGCGTCAAAATACCAGAAGCGAAGAGCTGAGAAGGCCGAACCAGTCACGTACAGGACCGGTCCAACCTGCCAAAAGAGGCGGAGCCGCGGGAAAATGCCCCGGGTTCAGACACCTATCAAGCATCGTCTGAAAGTAAAGCTGGGCCGGCCACCAAGGGACCATGAGGACTACTCTACTTGGGAATGGGCTCCAACCGAGCCAGAACCCAAAGCAACAGCTGGACCGGGAGAAGAGGAACAGGTACCCCCACCTCAACCAGTCCTGCCGAAAGGCATCCACCGTGAACGCCTGGCAGGCGGGTAAAAGCGCCACATAGAATGGGTGACGCCTAGACCATGCCGACTCAAAGACGTCCATGGCCAGGAGTCCATACGTCCGGCAGAGCCAACGAAACGAGTTGGCGACGACTGGCCAATCTGCTAACAGAGGAATGAACTGAAACAGGCTGTCCACCAGGACGTAGGACACACCCCGGACATGAACCTCACAGTTAGCAAAACCCCGAAAATCCAACAAACGAGCCACTCGAAGGGACCAACCCCAAAAGCAAACTCCTAAGAGAAACCCCCGTGGTTCCGACAAAGAACCGCCAGAGAACAGTTTGAATGGAGCCGAATGGTAGAGCACCGAGTGACCCGAATCCTCCGAAGCGCAAACCAGACAGCCACGAACTCCCGAACCATGCTGTGAGCCCAATGGACGGACAGACCCCACCATCCCCGGCCGACCTGGTGAGCACTGGTCACAAAGCTCAAGCCGAGAGATGACCCGTCCGTGAACACATCGAGCGAAGGTTCGGGGAGGTGCCAAGGCACAGAACCCCGAAAACCCCAAAGAGGAAGCTGGTGACGCAGCGCCAACACAAGATCCCCAGAGGAACGAACCCAGCGATTGCAAGAGAGGCAGAAGGGGAGTCTCTGAAGGCACCAAACAGACGCCGAAGACAAACCCGACCCTGTGGGCAGACCAGCACGTCGAAGTTCATTCTCTCGCACAACTGCTCGAGCAACCGCCGAGCGACCCGGGACCCCCTCATGAACAGCCGAAGGCGGGACCACAGCCGCAGCAACACTTCTGGAGGGAAAGACAAGGAGCGGTCCAAGAGCCCTAAAGCCCAGCCAGGTCCAAACCCGGGACAGAAATAGATCACTTTCATCAAAAACTGGGAGATGGCACAGGTGGTGATAATACTGGCAAGGGCGATGACCTGTGAGGCCACAGCATGCGTGGCGCTCGCCCTGTACACGACACACTCGCTGTATTGTCCACATCTGTGTCTGTATCACTTGTAAATGACACTTGTGTTAGGTCTTTATCGTGTCTTGGTTCATCAATATCACTACCCATTTCTTCAAACAATAATATCTGAATTTCCCTTTCAGACAGCGATCTTTCATCACCGCGTCTGACAGGGAATCGGGAGCTGGAGGCGCGCCATGGTTGCTAGATCAGAACTGAACAGCCGTGGGGCATGCTGGGATTTTTTTAAAGATGGCTGCCGCTCACTGGAAGCCTCAGGCCTCCATCTCGTATCGAACCCACCAGGCGCGAGTTTTGAGTCTTACAATATCAATCATCCATGATATGTAGGGTGGTGCACCACCATACCCTGTGTTATGTCGGGTAGTGCAGAGCAGTGGTTAATCACTAGTAGGAATTTTCTGTCAATCGATTTGTTTCGATTTGGTAGAATAAACTAGAATAACTACCCAGGCTTGTGAAGAATTTATCATTCGGACAAATTTAGTCTATACAGTTCACTCTAAATAAATAATTTAAAAGTAAAATAATAATTAATCAATTTAATAAACAAATAAATACATATATAAATAATAAAGATTATTACACTAATTCTCACTGGTAGCTTTCCCACATAACCCAATCAACCACTACAGAGTTAGCAAGGCAGTCGGGTTGATGTCAGGGATACTAGTGAGACTAGTGAGGGATGCCAGTTCCCAGAACACTGTTATCATGATTATTGTAACACCTGGTGGCAGTTGGTGCAACTTTGATTTACTAACAACAGTTTACAGTGTATAACTGGCAGTCAATAACCTTAGAAGTTTAACTCTTTTTTTGTATCACAGTGAGGTGGTGCACTCAGTATTGGTTTCAGTTAGACCTGCTATGGTTCCCCTTCTCTAAATATATGACTAGACCATTAGCAAACATCCTTGTCATGAGGGGGAGAAAAGTCACAAAGGCCTGATGGGTAATGAGAGTGCTGGGTGGACCATAAAGGCTTTGGCTACGTGAGCATTCCAGATGAACTTAGCTCAGGAAAACCATATTAGTGGCACCATTACAAACTTCTTAGGGATATAAATTCCAGCTGTGACTATTGAGTGTCCTCTATCATCAAGGCATATGTCTATAAATTTTGGTACAGCACTTCTCATTTATTTTCAATATATCTACAATGTGTTAAAATAGTTTTAAAATATATCACTAGAGGGAGCTACATGGTTCAATAAAAATAGAGACCTTGCAGTACCAACTTAAGTCTTGAAAGTTTCAAGCCAATATGTGAAGGTATTCTTCTGATATATTATGCACTAAAAATTTACAATACAAAAATTCTGAAAAATCCATATATCCCTACTGACAATACCTAATGAAGTTGTCTAACATTATTCTATTTATATAAACTTGATGAACTAACTAGAATATTGTACTTTAGTTTTCAAACCAGTAATCTGGGTTCACTAGCTCTGAGGGCTGATTCCAATATGGATAACATTGTTAACATTAAGGCCATTCTGCAGAGTGGTACTGTGGGTCCAGGAAAACGATCTAGAACAGTTTAACATTTGGCACGGGTAACTTATGGTAGGCTAGTGAAGAAGACATACTAAAGTGGAGAGCTAGGAGCTGGAAGGTTGAGTTGACAACCAATATCATGTCAAGGAATTGTGGAGAAGACCACAGGAGATAGGTCCTATAGTGAACAATGAGTTAACACAACCTAAAATAATGTTCAGATAGGGTTGACTAGCTTTTCTATTGCCACCCTCTTGTATGGGGAGCTCTTTGAATAAAGGCATGAGAGAGATATACATAATTCTGCATTGCTTTAATACATCCTGACCAAAGCTGGAGCTTGTCAACATGAATAATGCATAGATTCTGTGTCTGGATAATACACTGAATACTATTTCATGGGGTCTGAAAGGGAACAAATTATATGAGCAAAGGAGCCAACAAAGAATCTCCTGATCCTCCTTGACCTTTTTGACTCATTTCTGTCATGTCATATCATTGTGATCTAGCAAAACAAAATACTGTATATATTAACATTTGAATATTAAATAAGGCAAGTAGCCTAGTAGTAGGTCATACTATGATGTTGGGAATGTGAAGGTAGATGGGAGAAAAACTGTAGTAACTAACTAACCTTGACCTGATAATATTGATCATTGTGTGTCTCTCTCTCAGATCTTTCTTTCAACTCATGTAGGTCTTTCTTTAAATGATTTATTTCAGCGAGAGCTCTGGTAAGAGCTGTCCGCTCATCATTAGTCTTCTGCCTCTCCGCAGCCAGTGCAGCTTCTAACGTATCCACCTGAAATACATGAAAAAAATAAAAAAATTGATTTACATAATTGATTCTGCAATTTAAATACATCATGTGATTATCTTACACAACAAATAACAATAGATATAAACTCAGATAATTGAAAAGAATAATGCCATCGGATAAGGTATGGTAAATTATTTAGAGAAAGTACTAAGCCAGTATGACTACGTAGCACTAAGTAGGGATATGAGAACTGGAGGGAAGGAATAGTGTCCAGGTCCAGTCACCTGGACCATCATATACAGAACGCTGACGTTGCAACAATCAAGGGGGTTGAGCTACCAACCAGCAAAAGCTGTTGAACACTCACACTTGATAAGAACACAAAATTTCACTAAAATCCATCTATTACCAATTACTTTTCAGTAAAACCGATATTTTTGATTGTTTGAATGTGTACGTATAGTACAGTATGAACCTATCAGGCTTGGGTTCAAGAACAAGTATACTTAATTGTCATGAAATAGTATACTTATGTGAAAAACAATGTAATTCATCTTTATTTCCCATAAGAAATATTGCAAACTTTATTGTTTTAGCACATGAATATATATCCATACTATAAGAGATAATGTCTGTGTCTGTCGTTCTCTGTCCAAAGTTAGAGGTCAGACACTTGGGGTTAGTCTCACATAAAATATACAGTCACATACAGTCTCCGTGGTGTAGTGGTAAGACACTCGCCTGGCGTTCCGCGAGCGCTATGTCATGGGTTCGTATCCTGGCCGGGGAGGATTTACTGGGCGCAATTCCTTAACTGTAGCCTCTGTTTAACGCAACAGTAAAATGTGTACTTGGATGAAAAAACGATTCTTCGCGGCAGGGGATCGTATTCCAGGGACCATAGGATTAAGGACTTGCCCGAAACGCTACGCGTACTAGTGGCTGTACAAGAATGTAACAACTCTTGTATATATCTCAAAAAAAAAAAAAAAAAATGACAGAGGGAATGGTCTGGGATATAGGATGAACACAGGCTGGTCAGGGTGACCAGAATTCAAAAGGAAACAGTGTGCCACGCTCACATTCAGACCACCACCACGACAAACTTTTGTCCTGCTCACCAGCTACTCACCTAAATATTTTAAAAACAAACATTTCAAAATAATTTTTGTTTCTTATGGTAACACACCAACCTGTCCTCTTACAAATTACCTCTGAATCTGCCCGTTTGCCCGTATGGCTGAAAATGGACGTAACTTGAAAATAAAAAAAAATTGAAAATAAATTTGGCATTTATTTTTTCTAAAACATTAAGTTAACCCTTATATGGCGCATGCCTATAAACCATTTGACACCCACCGGCACATACAAAAAAAAATATTTTTTCTTCCTAACCTGTTAATTTGTGTTCACTGATCATGGGAAAAATAATAAAAAAACCGTAAGTGGTATATATTGCCCACTATAGGGCGGGGAAGTCTGGCAATGTATATATATATATATATATATATATATATATATATATATATATATATATATATATATATATATATATATATATATATATATATATGTATATGTATGTATATATATATATATATATATATATGTATATGTATGTATGTATATATATATATATATATATATATATATATATATATATATATATATATATATATATACAGAGCACCACTTGGTTTCCGAACCCCTTGGGGACGAGACCCGTCGGTTAACATGTAAGTTCGTATACGAGAAATAGAGGGGAAAAATAAACTAGAAATGTAAAAAGAAATTTTTCCGAAAAATTTATGAAAAAAACTCTAGGGAAAAAAATCGTCAGGTTCATGGCGTAAATGCGACCGTGTTTTGTTTGTACTCATCAATAAGTGAAGTCCTGATCCGCTTTATAAAAGTCCTTAATTGTTCCTAACTGATTATTAAGACGTCTGGCAAACATCCTCTGGATGTTTCCTGCCAGCCTGCAGGCACATCCTGCCTAAAATATACGATGATGTACTGTACATTTAAGAAACAAATCTGGGTCACAGGTCTGTGGAGTGTGGTTAGGCTTACGGAGTCAGCCGGTCCCTCCCCCACCACCAACACACCCCCCCCTCTCCCCCCACCACCGACACACCTCCCCCTCTCCCCCCACCACCGACACACCTCCCCCTCTCCCCCCACCACCGACACACCTCCCCCTCTCCCCCCACCACCGACACACCTCCCCCTCTCCCCCCACCACCGACACACCTCCCCCTCTCCCCCCACCACCGACACACCACCCCCACCCCCCACCCCAAACCCATACACACACACACACACACTCTCAAAGGTCACGTGGTTCACAGTTCACTTCAACACCCATATATCGCTTCCTGCCTGCCTGCCTCCTTCCCACCCTGCCAGCCTGCTTCCTTCCCAGCCTGCCTCCTTCCCAGCCTGCCTCCTTCCCAGCCTGCCTGCCTGCCTCCTTCCCAGCCTGCCAGCCTGCCTCCTTCCCAGCCTGCCAGCCTGCCTCCTTCCCAGCCTGCCAGCCTGCCTCCTTCCCAGCCTGCCTCCTTCCCAGCCTGCCTCCTTCCCAGCCTGCCTGCCTGCCTCCTTCCCAGCCTGCCAGCCTGCCTCCTTCCCAGCCTGCCAGCCTGCCTCCTTCCCAGCCTGCCAGCCTGCCTCCTTCCCAGCCTGCCAGCCTGCCTCCTTCCCAGCCTGCCAGCCTGCCTCCTTCCCAGCCTGCCAGCCTGCCTCCTTCCAAGCCTGCCAGCCTGCCTCCTTCCCAGCCTGCCTCCTTCCCAGCCTGCCAGCCTGCCTCCTTCCCAGCCTGCCAGCCTGCCTCCTTCCCAGCCTGCCAGCCTGCCTCCTTCCCAGCCTGCCAGCCTGCCTCCTTCCCAGCCTGCCTCCTTCCCAGCCTGCCTCCTTCCCAGCCTGCCAGCCTGCCTCCTTCCCAGCCTGCCTCCTTCCCAGCCTGCCAGCCTGCCTCCTTCCCAGCCTGCCAGCCTGCCTCCTTCCCAGCCTGCCAGCCTGCCTCCTTCCCAGCCTGCCTCCTTCCCAGCCTGCCAGCCTGCCTCCTTCCCAGCCTGCCAGCCTGCCTCCTTCCCAGCCTGCCAGCCTGCCTCCTTCCCAGCCTGCCTCCTTCCCAGCCTGCCAGCCTGCTTCCTTCCCAGCTTGCCTGCCTGCCTCCTTCCCAGCCTGCCAGCCTGCTTCCTTCCCAGCCTGCCAGCCTGCTTCCTTCCCAGCCTGCCTCCTTCCCAGCCTGCCTTCTTCCCAGCCTGCCTCCTTCCCAGCCTGCCTCCTTCCCAGCCTGCCAGCCTGCCAGCCAGCCTGCCTGCCAGCCTGCTTCCTTCCCAGCCTGCCTCCTTCCCAGCCTGCCAGCCTGCCTCCTTCCCAGCTTGCCAGCCAGCCTGCCAGCCAGCCTGCCAGCCAGCCTGCCTGCCAACCTGCCTGCCTGCCAGCCTGCTTCCTTTCCAGCCAGCCTGCCTCTCCCCCTGCCATCATGCTAACGGGTAGTGTGTGTTAGGCTTATCTTCGGGAATGAGCCGGTCTCGCCCCCACCACCAACAAACCACCCGCCCCCCTACATCCCATCTCTCAAGGTCACGCGGTTCAACCTCGTGACTACCACTCACTCCCTGCCTGCAAGCTAGCCTGCCTGCCTGCAAGCTAGCCTGCCTGCCTGCCTGCCTGTGCCTGCCTGCCTGTGCCTGCCAGCCTGCCTTTCCCTCCCTAATTCTCACTACTTCCATCCCTTCCTGCCTACCTCCTAGCATCTCTCCCTACCTCCCCCTCCCTCTTAGCATCTCTCCCTACCTCCTAACATCTCTCCCTACCTCCCCCTCCCTCCTAGAATCTCTCCCCCCCCCTCTCTCACTGATTCTCCCCCCCCCCTCATTCATACTGCCTCCCACCTAAGTTCCATCGTCCATCCACCCACCAGTCAGCCATCACTGACGCAATGGGTGCATTTGGAGCCAACATGGTGCACAGATGTTTCTTGATTGTGCAGATATGTAAAACAAAAGCACAGAATGAACATTCCAGCCTTATGGCAATTCAAAATAATAGGAATAATAGGCCGTGAATCTGTGAAGTCACAGTGGGCAAACTGGACCATCGCCCACCCACCACCACAAGCCGGCGTGACGCTTGGTGGACCCCTTCCTACCCGAACTTTGTTCGGGTAGCATGACTCCCCAACCCCAATCGGGAAACAGGAAGTTTCGGATAACTAAAGTTCGGAAACCAAGTGGTGCTCTGTATATGTCGTACCTAGTAGCCAGAACTCACTTCTCAGCCTACTATGCAAGGCCCGATTTGCCTAATAAGCCAAGTCTTCATGAATTAATATATTTTCTCTAATTTTTTTCTTATGAAATGGTAAAGCTACCCATTTCATTATGTATGAAGTCAATTTTTTTTTATTGGAGTTAAAATTAACGTAGATATATGACCGAACCTAACCAACCCTACCTAACCTAACCTAACCTATCATTATAGGTTACGTTAGGTTAGGTAGCTGAAAAAGTTAGGTTAGGTTAGGTTAGGTAGGTTAGGTAGTCGAAAAACAATTAATTCATGAAAACTTGGCTTATTAGGCAAATCGGGCCTTGCATAGTAGGCTGAGAAGTGCGTTCTGGCTACTAGGTACGACATATATATATATATATATATACACACACACACACACACTGTGAGGTGAAGCTGGAGGAGGCAGAAGTCACACTGCAGCAAGCTCCTGGAAATATCGAATTACCTAAGTATTGGGCACAGGTTGAGGGCTACAGTGGTGTCCCAGGTTACATAAAGGTTCAGGGAAGAGTAAAAGCAAATAAAATACAATAAACAAGTAAAAGTGAGTGAATATAGCCGAGTGGAAAAGTTTGTTTTGGTCTAGAACAAAATCAAAGATGGCCGCCGCCACCACCCCCCACTGAGAAGGTAGACACACCATCAGATGATGGTTTCAAAGGATTCTCACTACAAGATATAAGGAAAGGAAGTGTTCTTGGCAGGTTAGAGATAATTGAGGATATGCAAAAGAAGTATGA